TAAAAAATATTTGTGGGAAATCTTGACTGCTAGGATTGCTCAGCTGTTGAATTCATGTTTTCGTTCTGACTGTGTGAAAGATTTCATATTCTCAAAAACCAGCAATCAGTGATCAGTGCAGTAACTATTCCATTTCCATTAACTCTGTGGAAGCAATGAATGAACAAGGGCCACAGGGCCAAGGGTCAGGTTAAACTGCAGCAGGTTTGGGAAGCCTTGTCATGACCTGTTTTTAATTTTAAAGCTTACTACTGGCTGCTTTAAGTCGGCAAAAATAACCTATGCACACTGGAAGTATGCTTCTTAGCAAAATGGAGCATGGCCTGGTATGAAGCTGCTAAGTAATTGCTAATTCTGATCAACTCAGTTAGCTACTGCAGTCATACTCCAGAGTATCCTCATTTTTTGAGATGTCAGGTTTTTTTTAAAAATATGCTGAAACCTGCATTTTTTTGAGATTTTCTGCTTGGTTTAAAAAAAAGGCAACAGGCTACTTAGTGCACTAATAACAAAAGATTGTCTGGTAGAAATAATGTTTAATTAAAAGTGGAACAAACAAACCTCTGAAATCACAGGTCTAAAAAGTCTTTCTCAGGGTAATTGCCTACTTGGAACTAGTACTCACTAGACATTTACCGTACGTATTTAATCATTGTGTCAGATTTTTTTTTCGTATTTCCACTTTGACATACTTAATATTTTTTTTGTCAATGTTAATGAATCACCCATTTGTTTTAATCTTTTTAATCACTAGTGCATGCTCAAGTTACTTCGGTTCTGAGTAAAAACAAATAAAATGTCTAGTAGGCATCTAATTGTTGAAATAGTCTGTTTTGCCGTTCGCTGTTTCTGCTCTCAGCATATTATTTTACTTCCTCTCGGAATGTTTTGTAAAGGTAAAGTAATTTCTTTTAATCATTTAACATGTGTAATCTTGTTGAGATTTGTCTTGTGCTCAAAAAGAATAATTGTCCCAAAATTGCAAGAATCCCAAACCTGCGTTCATTAGTAGGTGAAATTACTCGGCCTCTTTAATGGGAGTTTTTTCCTTGCTATGGACTGCTGGCTGGGGCAGAGGGCACCTTATCTGCTGGTTTTCTGGTGGTCTAAATGCTTTGATTTTCCTTCACTCTCGAGTCATTTGTACGTTTGTATGCTCACTGGATTGGTTTAAGTGCAGTTTGGAGACCTGTTTATGTGTTTGGGAATGATGTGATTGTCGGCTGTGAAAGACAAAACACTAAGACACATGGGCCATAATTTTCCTGTTCCTTAAACATTTATGTTCCTTTGTAGTTTTAACGGAACACTATTATCTAATTGAAACAACAATGTTGCTGACTTCTTAATTATACTTTTGGCAATAAATCCTGAGGAGTGTAAACTTTTTTTAACTAAATAAATCAAAACTAGCAGTGAGTCACCCATGTTGTTTCCGTGGTTGTGGTGTTTTTTTTTTTTTAACTTGATGTCTAGGCAAAGCAGTATGCTGAGGGTAGTAAATTTAGGCTAACGTTAGAATATTTAAAGCAAATATTTTCAAGCACTAGGGCTAGCTTTGGTTTGTATTTCTTTGTATAGTAAGCACAGACAGAAATTAATGATCTGGAATCTAAAGTTAATTACGTTGGATCTGTCCTTAGCTGCTTTTCAAATGGTCATAGTAGTTCAATTTGTACATGTTAATTCATATGTATGTACATTAGTTGTAAGACAAATTGTATGAACATCTGTTCTAAATCTGTTTTATAGTAGCTGTATAGCTGAACTGAGATTTGTGTAAGTGTAAAATAAACTTACAAAGGGCTTTGGAGCTTCTGAAATGCTCGTAAATGATCACGCTGCTCTCCTTAGCTATGTCAAAACTGGAGTGGGAGCTTCAGCTCTTTTTCCAGCTCTTGGATGCAGCTGGAGTGTACTCCTGTACCTTTTGCCACACCAAATGACATTCCCCATTCCTTGCTTTGCACTGGAGGAAAGACTAAGCAGGCCGGTATTCTTCCCATAGCACACAGAGTCGCAGCAGTCTTCAGCCTGGTCTCTGGATGATTAAGGGATCAGAAACCCAGGATGCAACATGGAGTGCAGTCCGTGTCTGAGTGCAACACAGAAGTGGTCCCTTTGGCTAGCATCTTGTTCTACCATTTGTATTCCTCCCAAGGTTTACAGATTGGAGACAGTTGCGCTGTGTACCTTCTTACCTTCCAACTAAAACTGAGCTTAAGACATACATCCTATGGCCTTGATGCGCTGGGCTGGGAGCCAGCATGACATGAGTCTGTCTTGCCTTTTCCAGTTATTTGACTGGTGCTAAAATTTGTGTGCTTTATAACAGCTGTATGGACCAAAACCTCCTCTCTCCTCTCATGAGAGCTTGCAGAAGATGTGTGCAGATGTGCTTGGTCCCTTTGACTCACAGGTGTAAGAACAGGCAGGCTCAGGCCTGGGCTGAAACCTGGGGATGGGGACTCCTCCCATTCCGCTGCCCCTTGCGCATTGCTTGCTGTGTTCCCGCCTGGCACCTGGCCTTTGCAGGGAGGGGGAAGCCCTAATGCATTATCAGGGGGCAAAGAAGTCTGCAGGGATGTGTATGGAATGGCTCGATTCTTACAGTTTATTTTTTTAAATGTTGTTGAAAGAACAAATGCAATGTCCCAAAAGCAATTAAAACAAGCAAACAAAAACAAACAGGTAATGCCTGGGCTGCCTGCCCACCTTTGGCGCTCTTAACAGCCTGCTTTGGATTTCAGGGCTGAATTTCCTGGACAAGACAAAAGTTGGGGGACAGGCAGGCAGAGACCTTCTCCACTAGCACCAACTGGATCAGGATGTAATGCTGAGCCTGGATGGAGGAGAGTAGGATGCCGCTGTGCTCGATGCAGCATGGCATCAATGGCAATGTGTGAACTCCACAAATTCAACAGAGAGCTCTTGAGCATCAAAATTAGCTGAGAGAGACTGGCAGGCGGGAGGTCTTGTTGCCGACTGAAAAGCAAGCTCTGATCACAAAGCTGTGATCTGATCACCGTGGTTCATGAATGTGTTAATGGGCGTTTATGATTGTGTAAGCTAATTCACAGATTGTGTCAAGTTGGGTGAGAATTTGCCTGTAGTAGGATTTTATAGCCCTAAGTGCTGGCTGTTGAAAGTTCATTATCTCTAATCTGAAGAAGAGCTTGAAAGGCCAGCCCTTTCCATTCAGCTAATTTATTGACATTAAGTACAATGTACCTCTCCACCTTAGGTTGTTATACAGCAGTAACTGAAACGAAATGAAGTCAGCCCAGTTTTGGACATCTCTGTTCATACGCTACACTTGTATATGGATTTATAAAATTCCATAATCTTCATTTTGTGCAAGTTAAAAAATATCAGTTTACTAGTTGCAGAAGTCACCATAACTGGTATAAATCTGGAAAATTTATGTATAACTTTTCTTATGAGGAAAGCAGAGCAATCATGTAAGATGGTACAAACAAGAAAATCTCTCCTAAACAGTTGGGGCAAGGGGGGAAGATTTTGCTAAATAAAGGCCGTCTGAAGTTTAGCCTTAACATAAACACTCAAATGTCAGGACAGTCTAGCTCCTAAGCATCCTCACACCTGTATATTAAAATACATAACCACCTACTACCGTTTAACATGAAACAACTGAAACGTTTTGCATTCTTTGGGACCTCAACTGATAGCTCGAAAGGGAACATGTACTTTTTGGACAGAAAGTATCCTCAATCGTTAAGCTGTATGGCCACGGTAAAAGGAGGGTGTGCTTTCAGCTGGGGCAGGACGGGGCTGCTGCTCCGCTCCTCGGCAGGCTCTTCTGGAAAATGGCCCTGGGGCTGCGGCGGGTATTTGCTGGTGTTGCTGGCCAGGTTGGATGGGAGTCTTCCACCTGCAGTCCTGGCCCCTCTTCCTTTCTTGAGTGAGTGGTTCTCTGTGAATGTGGTCACTGATGGGTTTGCGGCTTTTGATTAGATTCATAGATGTGTTGCTAATTGTGGGCTCCAGCTGAGGCTTTTCTCACAGGTGGGGGGCATTCAGAGCAGCTCTCCCCGGTGGGAGCTCTTTTGAGTTCCTTGTAGGTGTTACCCTTCGTCTTCTCTGTGGTCTGGGTGCCATTGGAGTCACTCTCCTGCAAGCAGCAGCCTGCTGCTGCACAGCTGGAACAGCTGGGGATGACCTGGCATGGACCAGTGCCTGATGGGGCCTGGGAGCTTACTTGTGCAGAGCCTCACTCAGGAGGTTGGGTTTTCTTGGCATGTATTAAGATACAAAGTATTTCTCCTCTCTGGGTATGGGGGACTTTGCTACCCCTCGTGTGCACACACAAGTCTCATTTTTTAAGAGAACCCTCCCTCCCATCCAAACGACCTTAATTAGTAGAGAAGTTTTCTTAAAGTGAGCGCAGTTGTTTTGGCTGACTGCTTTGGATATAATCTTTGAAATGATTGACTATGTTAAATCATGATAATTGGGTCTGACCATTAACCTCCCACAGAGCTGATTACAGGGATGGGGGTGATGAGGAAGTTTTTTCTTAGTGCTATTGTTTCAGTCTGTTTGCAGTGTAAACACAATGAGTGTGTCGGTTGATTATGCTGCAGACCATCTCTCAAGCCAGAGGAGATGGGTATTTAGTTTTTAAACTTGAAAACCTGGGTTTTAGAGAAAACATGCTTTGGGGAGATGCTAGGGAGGCTGCGGGTCTGTGCGCCTGCTCCTTTCCAGCCATCCCAACTGTTTACTTACTGAGTGGCTCTTCCTAGACCATTTATCCCCTTTACTTTAGCTTCTCCCCGACGTGACTGTATAGAACACCTCTGAGGGACAGCACTCTCTTCATTGCTTTAAGATTGTCTTGACTAAGTTAGAGCAGCAGAGACTGACTCATCCCCTCCAGCATTTCTGCAGACGAGCACAGCCCGGCTCTTAAAAGGTGTGTTTTTAGAGGGCATATCATAGTCTGCCTGTAGTGCTCATAAATCAGTTATGATGATCGCATGGCTCTGAGCGCTCTGAGTAACAAAAGGCAGTTATTGATTGTAAGGGAAGATTGCTACAGGAAGGAGAGTGAGCGGTATTTTGTGCGTTGCAATGGGCAGCTGCCCATGCGGTGAAACAGCCCGGCTTTAGCTGAAGGGTAGCTTTGTTGAGGAAAGGAGAATCCTTGCCTGGAATAATTGCGTCTGAGCCAGGGAGAATTGGCTACTCCAGAGTGGAAACAGCTACCCCCAGCTACCTCTGGCACAGACAGCGGGGCTGTTGCAAATCTGATTTGAGTCACTAACAATAAGGTATTGAAAAGGCGAGCGGACCTAGCAGTTCTCTGTCTTTCTGTGGGTTCCTAATTTGTGCTTCAGCTTTGGTTGCTGAAGCAAACCAGTGAAAACACAAATGAGTATGTGGAAAAAAGAAGGAGAAAAATCTTTAGAAGAGACAGCAAAAGGCAAGGCAGAAAGAAAGGCCCTTGGAAAAGAAAGGAAGCTTCTAAAAATCCAGGTAGTTTAGATGAAAGGAAAATGCAATCTAAACTGTAATTGTTGGGTTGGCTGTATTTTGTGATACGAGGCTACCAAAATGCCCTCTTCCCCCACAGAGCTCATAAAAGTGTGCTCTGTGTACCAGATGGACTGTTTTGTTTTTCATTAAATAAAGAAACTTGTAAACAGTGCTCTGTACCGTAGAGATGATAATCTCCGCCACCCCCCTCCTCTTCCTTAAACACCAGAGCACGCTCTTGGCAGGTTGTGCCAAGCAGCGGTGGGGCCCTGGGTGAAGCCTGAGCTTGCCGGTCACTGTGGCTTTGGGAGCCAGGCGAGACACGCTCCGGCGTCTGAGAGCGTTTGCTGCCTGGGTGTGGTTGTGCTTTTATCAAATCCTATTTCTGAAATCAAATAGAAGGCTCAGTTACACAGTGTTTGAATGCCACTCTCTGTGCAGCAGCGCCAGTTGGTTGGGTTCGGTCTGTGGAGCCGGCACTGCTGCAGGTAGGGGAGAGCAAAAAGGAGACTGAATAATGAACAGTTTTTATGTAGGAGACGGGAAGAAAGGTTTTATGAAGGTGACTGGGACTAACTGCTAGTCTCGTCAGCCAAGTTGGTATATTCAGTTATTCCGCCATCTTTGCAGCTTTCAGATCGGTAAGGTGTAATGTGTTAAAAGTTTCATTGTGATCCTTGTAACTTGAGCCACAGTTCTTGACAGTGTTCTTGCAACGCACAATAAGCAGCACCCCCCTCAGTCCACTATTTCCCTGCCTAATCTGTTTGCCTACTATCTTGTGTAATAGGAATGCTACTTTTTTTTTTCCCAACTCTTTTATCCTGGAGTTTATTGAACATTTTACAAAAGGGCGTACTATTGGCTTCATTTATGTTTCTGTTATACTGGAAATTTCAGCGATAGCTGTGGTGAAGCAGTCTCTCCCGTGATATACGCAGACACTGGTCAGCTTGTACCACTTTCAGGGTAGGGGAAACTGCTCTGCTGCAAATCCCACTAATGGCCTTGTGTATTGCCGTGGGTCTGTAACTAGAGGTGATGAGTGATAAAGTGGAAATTGAGACCAAATATGTTGACTACTTCTGCTCCATCCGCTGGACCCATTGCTCATGTCCTGTTACAGAAAACCTCTCTAAAATTATGGACAAACTGCTTTCCAAAAGCAGAGAATAGCTAAATCATAAGGTGTACGCAGTATTAAATACTGAACTGTACTCTGTTTATGTAAACACTTGATTAGTATTACATATTTTTTCTTGTTTTCATTCATGTCATCTTATTATTTTAACTTATTTCAGTTAAATGCATTTTTCCCTAATCAAGTGTACATCTAGCAAAAATACTGCGGCAACATGTCCTTATATTGTTATGTCCTTTTTTCTGAATAGTTTTAAAATATTTTGATGGCTCTACCTGTATATTTGTAAAAATACATTTGAAATAGTATCACAAGATCTGCACACGTTTGATATTTTTGTTAAGTACTGAAGATACCTAATACTGAGAAGTATTTATGTCAGCGAGTTTATTACAGAGATGCTTTCTTTGATGTAATCATATCACTTTCATTGAGCTATGTGATGTTCGTTAACATGCCTTGTGACTAAAGTAATCCCTTCTGGATCACCATTTTATTCTTCCTGTCTATGCAGTAACAAGCGACTTGTGGCCTTAGTGCCAAATGACACTTCATTCAACACCAGACGAGCCTACACCAGTGAAGATGAAGCCTGGAAGTCGTATTTGGAGAATCCCCTAACAGCAGCTACCAAGGCTATGATGAGCATAAATGGTGATGAGGACAGTGCTGCTGCTCTTGGCCTATTGTATGACTATTATAAAGTAGGTAACTCCGTTGTTATTCCTCCCTGCTGCACTAGCAGGGGACGGTTCTAAGAGGCATCAAAAGAGCCAGTTTTCCAAGACAGAAGTCACTGCATCTTGTTTTCTCTTTGATACTTGTATCAAGCACCCTGTCCGTTTTAGGAAGCCTTTCTGAGACTGTTTTGATGTGTTTAGTTCCAGAGAGAAAAAGAAAAATCAGAAATCCCATATTAAATTTGCAACCATGTTGTCTTTTCGGGATAGTGGTGTTCCTCTTTCCTCGCAAGAGCGCTGGATGAATTAACCCCCTTTTTATTTGTTCTCAAATACTTGCGGTGTTCTTTAAAAAGTGGCGAAGGGAAGGCCTTGTCCATCTGTAGATTTGTCTGCTTTTCTGGTTCATTCCACACATGCTTTAGTTTGCTCTTTAACTGGAGTATCTCTCATCTGACAGTTTCCCATGTTATTTTTATTTGTATAATGATTGCAGCAGGCTGTGTACAAACATACAGTGAGGTCTAGCCCTTGCACTGGAAGTTTGCAGTCTGAATAGAAAGGTAGAGGACAGAAATGGAGCTGGACACAGAGATCTAAGTCAATATATGGGGGAAGCCCACACAGTTCCAGTTTATGTCAGGTTCTAAGCCCAGGGCTTTACATACCATTTTGATACCACTTTCCTTTTTTGTAGATTTCATAGTGTTGAAGCAGAGCTATGTTTGAGATTGCTGAAATCAGAGGGGAGTCCTACAGGGTGCATCTATACGTAATGCAGAAATTTCACTCTGAAACCCAGGCTGACCCCTTTGTACTCTGCAAATGGAATTGGTGTTGCCTACCAAGCACTAAAGTATAAAATTGTTCATTTCAGTTAAACTATCTCAGTATTCCTGAAGCCACCTATGGCTGCATTGGACAGATGATCTTCTGTGAATGCCAGCAGTACAACTCCAGCTCCCCTTGTAACTGATGAAGAAGCAGCAGGGATGGAAATTAAAAACCTTTGCTTTTAGTATTTATTAGTATAAATGGTTTAGAGAAAGGGGTGCCCTTTTTAGTCTCTGCTATGATTATTAAATGAGTGTTCAGGAGAAGGGGTTGTAGGCAAGATGCCATATACCAACCTTATGGTTAAATATTGTTTTAATTTCTTTACCGATTGTATTTCAAGATATGTTCCTTGCTTTTGTGTGTTGTTGTCAGCAGAGAAAAGCTTTTCCCAATGAGAAAGAAGAAAGGTCCTTTTTTCTACTTCAGAGTTACCACAGTGCCAGGGTCTATGAAGTTAATGCGGATTCCTAAAATTCAGGATGTGTATGAGCATCTGGAGCGTTGGCTTCTGTCTTAGTAATACCTTTGTATGTAGCAATTCATTAATCTGCTGGACTTTTTAAATAAAAACAGGGAACAGCCCTTTTCCTTCTCAAAACTATGTTCCAAGAGACATATCTGTTCCTTGTTCCAGGCAGTTGCAAAAGACTCGAGGTTCAGGTGGAATAAGCTGTGTTAATCTCAAAGCCATTTACAGCATTCAGACATAACTATTTCTGTCTTAAACTGGGAGAAAAGGACAAGTCTTGTTGATGCTCTCAAACAGGAACTTAAAACCTAACTTAAACCTCTGTGCTGTAATGTGGAAGTGTAGAGGAGGACTTCCAGTGCACCAGACTCTCGAATTGCCCTTATTTATCATCTGTGTCAGTTGTTCTGACATGCTGGGTAATTTTTTTGAAGTCCTTTTTCAAGTCAGTAGGAATTATTTGAACTTAACTGGGTTGTGTTCCCCCCCCCCTTTTTTTTCTTGTAGTGATATTTACCTAAACACAGACCCTGCTTCAGGGATAAATATATGATCTTAACAGGGGAATCGACGTGTGCTAGTTGTGGTTTGGATCCCACTTCTGAAATACGTGAAACAGGTTTTTTAACCAGCAGGACACTTAACAGGGAGAGAAGATGTCCCTAAGAGAAGCAAAGGCTCTGGCTAGTACTCTCTGACTCTGCCGTTGTCTTTCAGATATAGCTGATGTTAACCTTGGCTACTGTAGTGCACTGTAGTATTGTTTTTCCTCTAAATTCAGATATTTTCCTGATTTTTCTTTATTTAAAGATAAAACGCACAGCTTTAGCCCATTCTCATGTCTATTCGTGCTCTTTAATCCTGATTTAACTGCTCTGATGGAGTGGATATACCTTCTTTTGTAAAAGGTAGAAGTTTTAGCTCCCAAATTGCTGGCTCAGCAAGAAGAAGAAAGTATGGTCATGGCAGCAACTTTGCCCTTGGTGATTTCATATCTGTGCTGGTGTCAGGAAACCGGTATTTGGGAAGAAAAATCTTTTAAATCACTTGATGTCAATTCTGAGTCTGTTGAGGGGCCAGATGTGACTACAATTTTACTTCTCATGGCTGTTGATGAAGCAGAAGTCAGTGTTCTCTGCTGACATGCCAGCATGCCCTGACCTGTCTCTGTGTTAGGAAAAGATCCACAAACTTTCCCGATTCATGAGTGCTGCTCCCTCCAGATTGCTCTGTAACAGGAGGACTTAGCTGGCGCTTGTGGTTTAATTGAAAACCCTTTTTCCTCTGAGTTAAAAGGTTCTCCATGCAAAGCTCATCAAAGCATCATGTCTTCCTTCTCATCGTTTACTGTTGTGTGAAAAGTGTGTGTGTGTTTGGGAATATAAACTTTGATTTTGGGATAGCTTGACGTAGCTTGATATTCCAAAGATAAGGACATACAGAAGAGTGCTTTGCTCCAGACTTACGTGCCCAAGAACTAGAAAGAAAATAATCTCTACGTTTTTCCCCTCTGGTAATTCTCGTTCTGTTTACAATCAGCCTCCCAAAGAAAAACAGCTCCTGGCATCTGTGAACTAGACAACAAAGATACAGTTACATTTTTCTAGTTGTTGCAGTAGAGCAGTCTGAAGCTGCAAATACCTGACAGTTGCATTTACCTGACCCCATGCCTGGTGTTGTTCTCAGGTTCCCAGAGATAAAAGGCTGTTGTCTGTTAACAAAGTGAGTGATAATCAAGAAGACCAAGATAAAAGGTACAGTATTATTCAAAATCATATACCCAGCTACTAACAGTGTTGATCAGTTGTGAACTGAAGGAACGATGATAGCCTGAGGGTTTATGGTTTTCTTCCAAAAGATAAAAGAATGAAGGCTGTTTTGGGAAGCAAACTTTACTCCTTTTTACTTTTAGTTTATTGGAAAATTGAACAGTATTATTAAACATGCAATATGCAAAGTAGCAGAAGGTTTCGTGACTGTGTTTTGTTGTTTTGCTGCTGCTGAGATTAGTAAAATCAGATTATATTGACAGTTGGCTATTGGCTGCTTTTCTTTCAATTTTCTTCTTCTAGACCAAAAAGTTAGTAGTTGGGCCTCAGTAACCTGATTTTTATAGTTTTATTTAACATAACTTAGGGTCTGCCCAGAAGCAAATAAAGTAACTCTCTCTTAATTGTTCACTCAAAATGTTTTTCTCACTTCTCTCAGATTTCAGCCTTCCTCTGTAGGCTAAAAGTGACTTGAAGAGTCAGAGGAAGCTGACTCCTGCCTTTATTAAGACTTGTGGATAAGAAAAAGTGTGTATTTATGTAGAAAGAACTAAGTTTTCACATACAGGAAGGTATCTTCCTGTAAAATTATAGTGGAGAGCAGCTATACAGGATTTATTTCAATGTAGCTAGTTCGGGACAGCCTTAGATGGTCTCCACTAGCAGTATAAGGTGAAAGTTTAAATCATAGTAGTACAAGTTCACTGTTTCAAAACAGAATATGATACTTTTTTGAGGGACAGTTTAACTTCTGAGAACACCACAGAAATTCCTAAGTTGAGTGTGATTGACAAAACTGGCCTTTGGTGGAAAGCCAAGAGAGGAACTGTAATGTCAGAACGTATCTCCTGGATTGAAAACAAAGCAGTGTGTTACACCTACTAAAAGTTTTACGAGTTAACAATTTTATGTCAGTTCAACTACTATCAGCAATCAGATTGCTTTCAACAGCAACCGTGGGTAGATGTGGGAATGCTGCTGGAGGTTACCTTGCAGCCGCTATAGTTACTGATCTACTCTGATACAATGGGATTCTTGGGCTTGCTCTTTCAGAAGAGCATTGGTACCAGAGTTACACAAGCAGCAGTGGCCTGTCAACAGCCTGAAAGGGCATGCATCAGTGTATGACTTTTGTTGTTGATATTCTGCCTATTTCACATGCAAATTATCTACTTTGAGTAACCCATACCTCGCCTTACTCTTTATAATTGTTTTGTACCTGAAGGCTGTTGCACTGGTGGATTGATTTTTGCATCCAAATTATAAGCAAGGCAAAAGCAACCCCGGATACCCAGAATTTGTTGTAAGAAGTCATACCAATTATAGGTCATATGTATTGTCTTTCTCTAGCTCTGGACCTCCCTGCTTGCCTTAAGATGTCTTTTGCTTAGTATTTGTTAATGTACTACTTCTTATGGCTCTGATAGAGCTGAAAGATCTCCTTCCCTGCCATCTAAGAACATTAAGCTATTTAAGGAGGAGACTTACTTTGTCAGGACAATTCTTAACATTTTTGGTTTTGTCTCACAGAAATTGTGTTAATACCACAGAAGCTCAGACTAATTTAAGCGGGGGAGAGAACCGCGTGCAAGTCCTGAAGACGGTGCCGGTTAACCTTTCCTTGAACCAAGATCCTTTGGAGTCGTCCAAAAGGGAATACAACACAAACGTGTCTGGGAGCTCAACGCCCATCACGGGGACTGGAGTGACTGTGGTTAAAGCAGAGGAGTTCACCCCTGTTTTTATGACGCCACAAGCACACTATGCAAGAGGAGAAAATGAGGAGCACCGAGGGGTTATCTTTGAACCATATGAAGTGTCCAACATTGCTCCTCACACGAATTATCTCAAAGATGACCAGCGCAGTACTCCTGACAGTACGTACAGTGACACCTTCAAAGACGGAGGAACAGAAGTAAGTTTTTCACCTCAAATTAGCATCTAAGAACTCAATAAAAAGCTGTAAACAAGGAGATTTGGGCTTGTAAACAAGATAAGGAGATCTGGGCTGTTCACAAGAACCACTAGAAGAACAGTGATGCTTCTTTCAACAAATTAATCTCTGCTGCTTGCCCTGTTCCTGTCAGTCTGTCCGCTGATTAGAGGGGAGCATCATGAGGTGTTTCAGAGCAGTTTTAAAGTTGTTTGTTGGAAACTGACAATAACAGATACTGATCTTTTGTCTTCTGGGATATTGTGTCAAGTAGACTATAGTTGCCATTCTAAGAGAAGATCTGTTACCTGTTAACAATATCTGCCTTCAGGCCTGGTCGTAACAGTAAGAAATAGCAGCCACTTTGTAACTGGGAAGTTCTTAATGTTCTCCTGAAAGTGCAAAATGAACAGTGTCAGCCTCTGCTGCTAGATATACCCAAGTGATTTATTCAGCAGCTGTCTGCTGCACTAAGCTGTGCTCTGCAACATGGGCAAGTGAGGAAAAACTAGTGGAATTTGGTGACTAGAGGGGAATGGAGAAGTTAACAGGCAGGGAAAGACTTGGGTGTATGTGTATGTAGGGGAATAAGGAGGAGAAGGGAGACAGGGAGCTGCCTTGTAACTATTTTACGCTGTTATGCTGAGGCAAAGTAATTATAGAGTCAGCTCTCATACAGTGAGTACCCTCTGGCTGCTTTTGCCTGCTGCAGAATAATGCAAACAAGCCAGAAATGTAGAAAGGTAAAAAATATTTAAGACTGACACTACCTCTGCAAATAATTAGAGATATTAGGTGGTAAAACTCTCCTCGGATTTTCTCCTCCAACTCTATGAGATTGTAAATGTAACAAAAGTAGAAGGCAAGCTACATTAAGGCTGAGTTGTTCTGACTGAATATATTAGAAATTTACTGTGTGTATGTGTATTATAGAAAAGTAATTGTCCTTACACAAGCATCATAGATCAGAGGCGAAATCCATTTTCAGATATAGAACACATTTAGGTCAACTAAATGAATAATTAATGAAGAAATCTAGCTTGATATTGAAAAATCAGTAAGATCAAACCTTGGATTAGAAACACTGCTCTGCATTAACAAACCACATCATTTCAGCTGTTTTTCATTGTAAGTGGTAAATGGCTCTTTATGCGAGTCCAGTGGTAGTGTACTCATGGCTTTCCCTGGGGTGCTGTAGCTGAGTGATTCCATTACGCTGGTTTGTTCTGGGATGTGCTGACGAGAGCTATGCCAACAACCTGCCTCTGCTGTGCAGAGTGCCATCAAATGTGCACAGTCGTTTAACTTCGAGGTAAAAAGTGAATTTGGGCCTTCTGGCCCCAAACACCTGCATGCTTATGGCACAGGAGCAGCAAGAGCTTTCCCGCCCTGCTGCAGCCTTACTCAACCCTTAGCCTGTACCTTCCTTTTTTCTCAACTACCCAAATCCTGGGATGCGCTTCACCCTGCAGCGCTCCGACGGCTTCTCCAGCCATGTGCTGTTATGTGGGGACCGCTGTAGGAGGCAGGTGTGGGGACAGCGTGAGGTAAAATGTCAGTATATTCCAAAGGAGAAACTTGTGCTAAATAGCATTTAAAGTAGAAATACAGTTGTTCTTACTAGTTTTCCTACTCGGTGAGAATGGCTGGGTTTGGCTGCAGTAGATTTGCTCTGATATCTGCTCAATTGTTAGACACATTGTGAATACATACTTAGAAATTGTTTCAAAACATTTGAGTGACTTAGTTCTGTTATACTGAAGGAGTGGTGAGTTTTTGTAGATCCCTGTGGTAGTGGACACTTCAGTCAATCATTTGCTATGTTCTTCAGATACAATTTTAACCATTATGTAAATATACCTTTCTCATCTCTTTCATATTCTTATTTAGTTGTGATTAATTTGTTAGTCCTTTTAGTATAGACAAAGTTTTCGGGGATAGGTAAGTAAATTGAATGTTTTTGACAATGTCAACCTCTAGCCTTCATATAAAAAATGATTAGCATGTTAATGTGGGAACATCTTTATTGTAATACCCCTCAGATGTTAGATTTCTTAGAGTATTTATCTATCCTACTCCTCATGGATGCTTGACTTTTGATCTTCAGGAAATGTTCCTAACCAGTACATATGTTTGCTCTTAACTAGTATCTGCCTGGATATTTGTTGTGGCACAGTTGTGCGTAAGGTAAAATTACAATTTCAAAAATTGCCTGACTTGACACTTCTGGAAACAAAGCAACCTTTAATTGCGTACTGGTGATCACAAAAGAAATCCTGGAGTAGTGATCCATCAGTGAATCAGAGAGACATCTGCAAAAACATGTTTCAGGCAAAAGGCAAGCCAAGAAGCAGCAGCAAGGCTTACACAGTAGAATATGAACGGGCTCGTTTGCTCGGGAAGACAGAGTACAAATCCTTGCTTAGTCTGTGCAAAAAGATTTCAGTTTATCAGAATTCCACCTCTTGATATAATTTTTTTTAGTAAATGTCTCTTCATTTTTTTTTTTTTTTTAAAGAGTGACTGTAGGTCTCCTTTCATCTGGTAAAGCCTGTGTTTTGCTCAAACAGAATCTTACACTGAAGGTAAAATATTTCCTTAGCCTGCGTTGCCACTCCTATTCAAAGCAGACGGTGTAGCAAACTGAATTTTTGTCAGCATTTCATTGTAGGCCTTAAGGTTAGCTAACCACGCATATATTTTTAAATAAAGCAAAACAAAACAAAAAGTGAAGTCTCTAGGAAAACTATTATTTCATTTCAAAATCTACTTGTCTTTGAGATGGGGTACATTTTTGCAGGCTTCTTTTCGTAAAAGTTAACATGTAGGCAAGGAGTTTAATAATGCAGAAGATGGTTTTTTAGCTGCATTCCTGCAGCAGTTTGGTTATGAAAAACTCTAAAAGCTTAACATAAATGAATTATCTCTGTCAATTCTAGTGGAGGATTGTAGGATCCACTCCAGTTTTTAGGGATTCTGAGTTTTAAATGGTTGATGGTTTCTTCTGAGGGGTTCTTAAATAAATACAATTCTACTTTTGTTGGCATTTGCATTTTGATTGTATCAAACTAGATTTAATTGTTGTTTTTATTTTTCAGAAGTATCGCAGTGTGTCAGTGGGGGCTGAAGAATATATTTACGAACAAACAAGGTATGGCGTAAGCTTTGAAATGTGTTGACTGGCATCACATAGGAATGTATCGAGGAGAGGCTGCCTGCGTCCACTTCCCACCTTTGCTTTCATCACCCTGGGGCATCTGCAGGGCTCCCTTGACACTGCCCAGCATCACTCTCCCCTTCTCCTGTGCATGTTACCTTTCATATCTGACCAGTTTATATCTTCATTTGTTATCTTCCATCAGCATTGTTTCAAGTCAAACTCTTCTGAAACCCCCTGGAAATAGGTGAGATTAAAACTGTTAAGAGAGGTCCCCCAGGTAACAGGGCACAGCTTTGACAGCCAGGTCATGGAAGATCTTCCCCACCTTTCCGGATGGTAGGATGCACAAGTCAGATGTCCAGGATGGTTGAAATGGCTCCACCAACCTCATGGAATTCGCATCTTTGATTTTACCATTTGTTTTTTCTAGCTACTCCTAATAGGTTTTCTGGGAAACCCTCTGTCTTTTTACACTGCTTGTTGTGGTGCTTCATGTTTACCTATAAAAGAACATAAATGAACTACCTATTACAAACCATGTAAAATATCCTAAGAATTCAGAAAAGATTTTTGAAAAGTTCCAAAAATTGAGGCTTGAAAGGAATGGCACCTTCCCTAAGCACAGAAAAATGTGCATGTAGAATAGGCAAACACTGCAGAGTGACTAATTACTAAAGACTGTGGTCAGTACAGTTTATAAGCTGATGCTTCGTTTCATGCTTGTGAATAGTTCTGTTTATATCTGAGAGATTACTCTCACTTTAGAAACAGGAACATGCCTACATATTTTTCCTGGAGTAGGCATATGACTGCTTCTGTAGTGGAGGTTTGTTACAGCTTGGTCTTTTTTGTGAGGAATATTAAAACAATCACTGACTGCAGTGAGCTCAGAACTGAGTCATTATATAGGCAGTACATATGAAACAGATATTTAGCAAAGACTGCTCACTTACTACACTGGGTATTTGTAAAATAGAATCCTGAAGCATTAGTATGGTTAATAATTCTCAGACGTTAAGTCTTTCATGCTGTGGCCCAGGTCCACATTAGAATGAGACCTCTAAATGTGCGTTAGGAAAAACGAAACATGTCTTTCCTGGAAGTTACGTGGAAGTGATAGGTGCTCAGAAATGAAAACTTCAGACTGGAGGGGGAAAAAATAAAAGTGGTCAATATGAAAGTAATTGGAAGCCTGATAGAAGATCCCTTAATGACTACAGGGGGCTTTAGTTAAGACTCATGGTGAGATTCAGAATTGTAGTATAATCATTTGAGTCACTGCAATGAATTTTAAGTCTATTAGTAACCCTCCTGCTGTAGGGCACATTTCGATTGCCAGCTGGGAACAAGATGAAAATTCCCAAGTGGTACCACACAGAGACTGCCAGGTGCAGCGTGTCTGGGATTTAAACTTTTCAACGTCTTTCTGAAACATACAGAATGCCAGGAGACAGAAGACCAGACCGTGGCAGACTGTAGGCAGCTCTGTTAAGACACCGCGTGTCTGACTTTCGTTCATCCTAAGCCCTTCCCAGCACTTGTCCTCCATAGACCTTCTGTCTGGTGGGAGGTTTTGAGGTGCCCTCAGCATGCTTTGGTATGTGTCATGCCGCAGTCTTGCAGCACGTGACCTGCAGTCCCTTCGTGTGACACTAAATCAGAGGATGTGTCCCCACCGCTAATGGGTGGTCAATCCATGGGACAAGTGTGGATTGGGTGGATGCTGGGTCCCCAGCACCAGCAGTTCTGCCCTTCCAGCCCACTCGGATGGGGATGTACCATGTGCCAGCGTCAAAGCCCCTGTTCTCTGCGCATGCAGGACAGAGGGGCTGCGGCAGCGTGCACTACAGCGGAGGGGACCGCAGTCCCCTTCATGCTCCCTGCAGGCAAGAGCCTTTATGTGGGCAGCAACTGCGCTGCTGGGAAGAGCTGGTACTGCCATCAGCGGGTTGGATAGGTGTAGGCTAGTGTTTTCTTTTTACCTTAGTTTGGCTTTCAAGTTGTACCTTTTAAGCAACTAGAAAAATGACTGGATTTCCATTTATAAGCTAAGAAAAACTTAGAAATTGTCTTGATTTTTTTGAATGATTGATATTAAACTAAATAATTGATATTAAACTGTCTGAAACTTCTTCCTTTGGGTGGAAAGACAGTCGATCAGGTTACTTTTTTCTTCTACCTTCTCTTCAAGTGGGGATTTAAATGTTATTATTATCTGTGCATTTTAGTGATTTTTTTTTTTTGTTGGTTTTTATTTTTTCATTGTATAGTTAAAAAAGTTTTTTTCTTCCCCTTATTTCCATATTGCTATGGGAGTGTTATGACGATCCAGAGTATTTACTTGAACTAGAAAGTTAAGGATACAGTGTTGTTTTGGGCCAACATATTCATTCAAGTCAGCACTGCTTAAATAATTTTGCTGAATAAGGACTTTTGTGAAAATGCTTCCCCCGTACCCATATCTCCAGTCTGTGAGGACATCCTGCAAGTGACTCCTTGCATTAAGCTTCCTGTGGTGACAAAATGCAGTTTGAAGAGGAGATTTATTCTGCAAGGTTAACATGATTTTTTGTTTAAGATAATGTGAAGAGCTGCAGGTGTCATTTATGTTGGATTATTGTTTAAGCCTGTTATTGGAGAAGGCGGCTGGAAGAGGCTCTCTGAGAATTGTGTTCAGCCAGCAGCTGACTAGTTAATGAAGCTTTAACTGTTCGTGGTTTGAGAACTGCTTTGAAGGTGGAAAGTTCTTCTGTGAAGGAGGGTCTTTTCTAAAGTCTGACTTCTAATACAAAAGTAAACTGTTTTTCTCTGAATTTTTGTCTTTTTCTGAAGGGAGGTTACTTGATTGCAGATACAACTAAATGTAGGTACTTTGTTCTGTCTGGCTAATTTTGAAAAGAAGGCTTGTGAAAACCTTGATTGCATGTTGCCTTTAAACAAATGAACCTACTGTCACTTCTGGTTGTATTCCTTCTCTACCCTGTGCTGAAAGTAGCAGCTGGACTTGCTATTCGCCGTGTCCATCTTTTGCAACAAGTTTTATTCTTTTTTGTTGTTGATTTGCTGTTTTTTTTTTTCTTTTAAATTTCTCTTTCTGTGACACTTCTAAGTTTGAATATCTGTGAAGGGTAACTGATTTCCTGCAAATCATACTGAATTCCCTCCTGGTATTTGATGCTGTCGCTGTGGGGTTTGTAGTCTTGTACTTCACGATGGTTCTTTTCAGAGAAGGCAAAGATGTAGTCTTTGCTCAAAGAGACTTACAGTCTGGATAGTTTTGTGTTTGATTTCCGGATCTGGTAAACTTGAAAAAAGAAAATAGCATTTTTAAATACCTGTTTGACATTTTCCTGGAATTTTATTATTAGCTTCTTATGCCTTGCTTATACAATGCATGAAATATGTAATAAATGGGAACAAAGAGAAAAGGAGAAAGTGATATGGATTGTGTTGGTGTTTCTCTCCCTGTCTTTTCAGCAGCACTTTTCAGTATACGCTAGAAGCAACCAAATCCCTGCGTCAAAAGCAAGGGGAGGGGCCCATGACCTACTTGAACAAAGGACAGTTCTACGCCATCACCCTGAGCGAGACGGGTGACAACAAATGTTTCCGGCATCCCATCAGCAAAGTCAGGGTATAGTCCAATTTCTTTCCTAGATGAGAATGGAGCTCTGCAGATAAGTGTAGTTGTGGCTGGTTGTTTTTAAATTTTTTTTTTCTTGTGGGAGGGGACAGAGCAAGCTTACTCTTATGCCCAATGTAAAGGTGGGAGAGTAATATTGATGGTGGTCTCAAATATATCACAAAAACAGTTTTTTCATAGTGTGACCTTATGAGTTAATTATGTACTTATCTGCCTCAGTTTATGGTTTGGCAGGTTGGTAATTGCACAGATACTGCACTTGACATTGATGAGCTTATAATTGCCATGATTAATGAAAAAAATCAGAGAACTGCTACACCTACTGTGCAAGTCCATCTTCACTCACTTGTTCACTTCGGCAGCTGCTTTCCAGTGCGTTTCAGATAAAATGTGAAGAGTTGAAGCCACCCTTTGTGACATAAATTTAAAATCGTTTACATGTTACAAGTGTGAGCTTTCACTTGATATTTACCGAGAAGTATGACAAAATGGGTGATTCACACCTTAGATTCTGTGGGTAGAACTGGAGCTCGGGTATTCAGCAACATCTGCCTGGTGAACAGGCCTCCTGGTTTCCCTGGTAATGTTTATGAGTAAGCAAATCCCAACCCAATAACCTTGGAATGAACAATGAGCCTCAGAATTGCTGCCCTGCGAATTTCACCCTGAAGCTGGAAGGGCTGCGTATGTACAAGGCTGCAAAAATGTTTCCATCCAAATAAATGAAGTAGGGTAAAAATATGCTAATTTTAGTTGAAGGAACTGGCGAAAGTCAACATGAGCAGCGAAGCAGACAACAACCTATATGTTTCTATAACACATGAAGTTTAGAGAGACTCTTCCTGAAGAGAGGCAATGATTTGTAAACCTAAATAGCAGTTAATTTTTAGCCTAGTTTCCTAAGGACATGAGGCTGATGATGGCGTTTCGTTGTTGGCTGAAGCTGATGGAAGACTTCTCTGCTGCTGAAAGGTCTCTCTCCCTGCCAGGCACACGTTCCTTCCCACTTTGTGGTGCCAGCTCTAGCACTTGTACAGCTGAAACAGGAGTCAGGAGATCACTAGCCTGGCTGAAAACCAGTCCTCATAAGCCTCGTTCGCTGCACAGCCACATGAGTTTTGAAGCTGTGGCAGCAGGGTGGAAATTGTAAAGGAGAGATGAGACTGTTTCTTTTGAAGATTGTGAAACCACACGCGACTTTCATGATCGTGTTCTGTTTGCCAGGCCCCCAGCCAAGTGACTGTTATTGCCTATTCCATCCCAACCTGACAGAGGAGCAAGAGGTTTTGAAGGTATTAAACCTCTACAAGTTCCATGTAAGTGGCTCATAGAGGAAAGAGATGAATGCTGTCCTAGGTGGAAAAGCTACAGTCTGCATTGCCAGTTCTGGTTAGTGCATCAGCTGGCCAGCCAGCAAGTACCTGATGGTCAGCCAGTAAGCGTGTACATACCTCAGAACTCATCCACGGCATAAACTGCCTTGTGCCCACGCAGCGACTAGACATGGAAGATGCAGTGATGACGTTCAGCTTTTATAGGTGGAAAGGAGAAGGTTGCAGAGCACATGAAGGGTTATGGTGGTGACTGCGTGGAGGGACATAGATCATGAATCAATCGTGACCCAGCTCATTGGCTTATGAAACAGCAACAGTTTGATAGTATTTTTTTATGAGTTTGGTGACTTGGGATTAAAGGAAGAATGGGAACAAAACAGGATATTTAAAAGTGAATTTTTTGTTCTCCATGATTTCTTTTCACTTAACTTTACCTAGTACAAGCATTCTTTCATTTTGTATTTGTTGTTTTTTTTTTTTGCTTGCCTACAGCATGGCTTTTTTAAAAAGCCTTTATTACCTATGTGAAGTTTTGTGTAAAGTTTCAATCTGTTTCCTTTGAGTCATGCAGTTTAACAAAGGGAATTCAGAACTGAAAAGCTCAGCAAAACTCAGTGAATAGTCACACTGAGTTTGTCATTAAATACGTGTATGCAACAGTCCTGCTACTGAGAAGAGTATTTTGACTATGTATGGTAAAACTGAGAAAATCCTACCTTTAGCCAGCGAGCCTGAGCTCCATAACAAGATATCCTTTTACAGTGTAATGTCAGCCATCTTCCAGAGTGACAAGCAATCTGAACTCCAACACTTGGACTGGACTTGGATCGGAATTGGAACGGGGTCTCCTCTGACTTTGAAATGACCACTTTTTACTTAAGGGAACTTAGACTTCTTTTAATCATATTCTTAGATTTATTTGGACTGTCAAGAACATAAACCCAGCCCTGCATGATTTTAAAACTACACTTCTGCTGCCCTGAGTCTTTAAGTGCATTGCAATGTTGGACTGGAATAAAACCCAGCAATCTTCTACAACCAAAGTACTGGGGGAGGGCAGTGACTAGATTGGCGTTAGAGGCATATGGGAGATTTTAATTTTTGTGTTTCCGACTATTAGTTATATTAACTAATGCAAATTGTGCTGTTGATTTTCTTAGAGCGTGGTCATGGTTGTTTTCAGTGAGGATAAAAACAGAGATGAACAGCTGAAGTACTGGAAATACTGGCATTCTCGGCAGCACACAGCTAAACAGAGGGTCCTCGACATTGGTGAGTGTAAGAGGATCTCCAAATGTTTCAGAGCAGATTGCAGAATGTGGAAAGCTCTGGTACCTTACACAGGGATGCGGTGGGATATACTGGTGATGACTGCAAGGCTTGTGCCAGTTTTTAGCAATGGCTTGTCCCTGCTAGGACTGGGCTGTGGGGTCTGTGAAGCAGGATGGAGACCATGCAGAAGGAATAGTCCTCAGTAGTCACAAAGAAGTGCTGACCCTTGCATGCATATCTAACGGCGTGCCACCTCCTGCTGCTGGGAAGTACAGGTCTGCACCTCCTCAGGAGTGGCAGAGTGTTTGTTTCCTTTCGTTTTTCATAGGCCGATCCATTCTTTGATCCAGTAACGGTATCAGCCCACATAACAGTTATGTTAGCTGATGTGCAAGTGCAGTCTGACACTGAAGATACCATCGTTATGGTGACTGCAAAGGAGCGTGCAGGACTCCTACACCTCCAGTTTTTGAGTCTTGTTGGTGTCAGAGAAGTGAGGGAGAAGCAAGCTCTGGTGTGCTATCCCAAGAGACCTGTTCATCCCGTCTGAGGTATTTACAGGCCCATTTCAGCCACAACTGCCCTGTCCACATGCTTGGGAGATATTAGCAGAGGAAGAGCGCATACCTGCTGCCAAGGAGCCTGAAGTCGAAATCTGTGGGAGTGTCTAGACATCAAGCACTTCTCCCCTCCCACGGGCAGTTTACACACGCAGCCATCTGCAGCAGATTCCTGTCAAAGGAGTCGGCAAGAATAAAGCAGACAAAGTCTATCTTGTTTTGACCGCCTGAGGGAACCAAACCGTTTAATGGCAGGAATTGGAGGGGGCAGAGAGGAGGGTGAAAAAAAAATCAGAGTTACTTGGAGAGAGCACTGCAAGACTTCAGGGGTGATTGAACAGGGTGATCAGAGCATCAGTCCCTAAGTGATCCTACTCATGCAGTGCCTTTCCACTTTCAAATGCTGCAGCCTCCAAAGAGGCTGGCATTCTTTAGTCAAGTGTATGTGGTCAAAGCACCTCTGCCTCAGTTTCCTCTCTGCCTCTTGTCTTATCATCATAGTTCTGGCTGAACTGTTTCCCCAACTATTTTTTTTTTTTTTTTTTCTTTTGGCCTTTGGGGTAGTTGGGGCAGTAAAACTTCCAGACCAAATGACTCCTATCATGACAAGTTAGAAAAACCAGTATGCCACGTCACAGCTGTTTCTGAAGGCTGCCTGGTTTTTTTTGTGCTAGTCCATGCAAGCTTGCACTGCTAATGCTCATACCTTCTAAGGTATGTGCTGAGGAGCTCGTTCCACCGCAGTGCCAACACCCTCCGACTTCACTGCACTCACAGTGTACTGGCACATTTCAGTCCCCTTACCCGAGCGAGATGGGTTATGATACATATTCTGTAAAATAGTGCTCTTCAAAACAAGCATTGTACGTGAGCTGTGTGTTTATCTATATTAAAGTGAATCTCTTTTATGTTTCCATTAGTTTGAGATGAAATAGGTCTGGGCTGACTTTTGAGGCACTCTGGCACGTATTCTTTATTTGGACTGCAAACATGAGCAAAGCCCAGTGTAGTAAGACTTACTGATATAGCACTTCCTGTCAGATGTAAGAACTGTAAAAGCACAGTTCACCTCGGTGTTTTCAGAAGAAAGACCTAGATGTTGCTCAGTAGTGCTTTCTTGTGAACAACTGAAATACAGCCTTAGGTCTTATCAAGTACATAATTTTTGAAGTACATTTCATTTTCTTTGGGACCTACATTCTGGATATTTGGATTATTAGGGCAGAATGGCTCCCTACTACATTTCCCATACAAGCATCAAACTGTGTTTAGCAAAATCTTCCAGTTTTCTTGTCAGATGATCTGAGGAACTTCATCCAGATTTGAAGTTAGCCCTGCTTTGAGCCACAGTAAGGTAGGGGTTGATCTGGATAACCTCCAGGGGTCCCTTCCAAGCTAAATTATTGTGTGACTCTGAAGATTTCCCTTTACATTAAAAGTTCAGATCCTTGAAGGGCTCCTGTAAAGAATTGCTGAGTTAGTGTCCAGGCCCTGTGTAGTTAACAGGGAAAATTAGGTGTCTATGAGGGAGATTAGCAAATACCAGGGTACAGCCTGGAGAACCATTTAAACAGGCAGTGAGAGAAGCTTGCTAAGGATGGGGTGTGTATCACTCATGGGATGGTCTGGCAATCTGCTAGTAGTCTCACTTCTCTGTTTTGGATTTCACTCCAAGTGTCAACAGTATATAAAGGATTAATAATGTATTCGGCTCCTTTAAAACTATCTGTGAATAGCCATAAATCTGTATAAACCGTTCCATGGAGATTTATAATCATTAATATTATTTTAATGTAATGTTTGTAGCATATGCTTAACATCTGTGAATGCTTTTTAATTGTTTATGAATGCACTTTTGATCCGGAGCATGACTTGGTCATTAGCGGGCAGACGCTCAAATGAACTTAGGGTGTTCTAGTTCTGGGATCCAGCCAGTTAGCCCTCAGACAGGGGTAATGACTCTGTGCTGCTTTCTTCGGTGGTACAGGTCTGTCTGCCTGCCTTCTGGCCTGCAGTTATGTTCTGGAGATCAGAGGAAATGGAATGACTTGTTCCCTCACTCCAGATATGCAGGGGTCACTGCTTTAATTTGTTTAGTGTGCTGGCTGATGCACCTCCTGGGAGGAGGGAGGATTGAATGGATTAGCTGCAGTACTGGGTCTGAAGATGCGTTGAAGTTAATAGGATAAGCATGTACTTACATGTAAGCAAGTCCTTAGTGCTTGAGGAATCAACCTGAGGACTTGATGCTTATTAAGCAAGAAGGAAAGGTGTTTTCCAGAATTTAGGCTATGTGCTGCTATGGATTTTTCCTGAAGAAGGAGGGAGGCACTTTCACTGTTTTTAGTAGGAGTGAGGGGGGGAAAAAAAAAGCTGACTTTTCCACAGTGCTGGGCTGTGACATTGGATCACTAGCTTTTTCTTTTAAAATAAAGCCAAATAAAGAATACAATACTAAATTGCAGCCCATACTGATCATTTAGAATCAGTACTATAATTTGATAGACACTGGAACAGGTTCAAACATGGACATACAGGGTGGGTGTGCAAGCTTTAGATTGGGGTTATTTGTGCTCCTGAATCTTGCCCACTTTTTTTTGCAGGATAGTTTGTATTATTTATGTGCACAATACAAAAACTACTACAATGGTATGTAATGCATGCAAATGATTAGTGTTTAATGTTGAAAATTTTTTGTTGTTTAATATGCTGTTTACCCAATAAAAGAGGAAATAATTCCTGCAGAGCTGTTTTCTTGCATATTGAAGAATCCTAATTTTCTATTTCTGGTAACTCAGAGCAACAGAAGAGGAAAAACTGTAGTCACACTAACAGCTTTCAGATATCCTTGGATGTAAATGCTTTCTTAATCTACTGAGGATCCTTCTTTAATTATCTGTAAATTGAGGGGAATAGGATGCATTTCTGCTTTTAAACAGTGTGTCACATAGACATTCCATGAGATTTGTGTATGGCAATTAAGGAAGTGGAGGCATGTGCTGGGGGAAGGGAGGGGTTGGTGGGATGCGAGGTTCTGGCAGCCTTTGAGGAGAAGAAAACATGTGTCTTTACAAGACATCTTGTTCGTGTCTTTCCAAAGTGCACCTACACAGCACGCCCATATGCAGCAGTCAGTTGCACAAGGCACTTTCTGGTGAATCATAAATTTAAGGGGTGGGTGGATGTGTGCACACGAGTATTAAACTACTTACATGTTTTCTAATTCCTCTGATATGCATTCCCACAATAAATTTAGATAGTGAAGCCATTGACTTCAGTTAGAAAGGGGGTCTGAGTTCACAATGGGAATGAAAAGCCTTCCTGCCCTCTCAAACACCATGTTCGCTTGTTGCATCACCAAATACCTTGTGCTGTCCCTATGGTCAGAATAGTCAATTTTTACTGTATCCAAAATCATTCATGTATCCCAGGCACACAGTTTTACTTGCCCAGTGAAGTGCCAGCATCCCTACATTTCAGATGGAAGAAAAGTATATTGATTGCAAGTCTCAAATGTTTAAATAATTCTCATAGCAGTGGTTTTGTTATAAATGATTTTAAAACAGTTATTACCTAGAAGTTGTTCTTTAGACACCAACAGTTTATTTTTAGAAGGGCAAAAGAAATGAGTATTGAAACCATTTGGGCGTCCAAAGAATAGTCATAGAATACAAAACCATCCTCTTTCTATAACTTATTACGAAGCTGAGAATAAGTGTGCTTCTGAAGCGCAGATTTGGGCAAACATTAGATCAAGATTGCCGCAAGACGTAATCTCAACCCTCTGGTACCGAGTTCAATCGCAGCCCTGGAGGAATTATGAGGAAATGTGTATGTCCCAGAGAGATCTGATGCATTTGTGTGAAGAATCTGGAAGTTCCTTTAATCAAGCAGATACTACCTCCTTACAAACCTACTCTTTCTCTTAATCTGTCAGCAAAAAGTGCGTTAAACTGGCTAGCAAAGAGAGAGAAAAAGGGGGCTTGTTTCTCTTTTTGATTATAAAGAAGACCTGGAAGTTGTCTGTCTTACATGGTTTTCTGCCCTTGCTATTATTGGGGGCGTTTGGATCACCTATGAAATTTGGTCTTCCTCTCTCTAGCTTTGCATTCCTTCTGAAACGTTAACTTATTGGTGATATGAACGGCCCTTTGGAAAGAAGTGAGAAGAGGGTACAGATTTTGTAGTGAGACAATTCAAAAATACTTTGTTTTGTTTGTTTGCTACTTTAGTATCGCATATACTTTGAAGATAGGTTCGGCTTGTGTTGGTATGTGTGAGTTCTTTTTTTTTTTTCTCTTTAAATAGAGATCCGGCATCCAGTGCAGTAATTCCTGGGAAAGTTGAAATGGCTGGGCAAGGAATGTACTGTCCTTATTGTTTCATCCAATTATAGGTCTTAGCTTTTAGAAAGCTGCATTAGGATTTACCATAATGTCATTTATGTATGTCAAGGTTTGAACAGTTCCTTTAAATGTTTCAGTAGCTTTTATTTATTTTTCCAGT